GGCAGTAAAAAATCAAGCATTGACTAACTTTTTGGCGGATCATCCATGCATTGACATGCGTAAGGAAATTGAATTGGAGATTGATTCATTTGAAATAAAACCTTGGATTTATACTTTGACCAATAAACACTTCTAGAGGTGCGGGGGTATGAATAGTTTTAATAAACCCTTTATGGGTTTGTTATAAATTTTCTTTCACTTTGAATAGAATGTGTATTAATAATCAAGTCAAATACAAAACATTGATTGTAGGCTTAGAACTGTTAGTAGAAATGAGAATAAAGAATATAATTATTAGATGCGACTCTCAGTTAGTAATTTACCAATTGATTGGTGATTTTAAATATCAAAGTGATTCTATTTTAAGTCAATATGAAATCGCCTAAAAATTATTGGAAGAGTTTGACTAAGTAGAGCTTCAATACGTCAATAGAATGTATAATGACCTAGCAAATGAATTAGCCCAAATGGCTTCGGGTTATTCAAAGGTTCTAAATTTGGAATCTAATTGTGAATATGGATTAATATTGTTCGTAGTACAAAGGAGGGCGAGAAGGATTGAGATTCATTGCATACAAGATGAAAATGCAATAGAAAATGAGGGTCTTGAGTGCAAGGAAATAGCTGACCTACCGCTGCTTGTCCAATAGATTCAGCATCTTTAAACGACGGACCCAGATAAAATTTATGGAGGCCAGAGTTGGCTGGTGAAAGAAAAGTTGAATTTATATACGATTTGGTAAGGAGGTTTTCAAAATCCTCGAAGCTAAGGGAGTTGTCGGAAGGGCTTTGTGGAGTTGTTATTCGCTGCAAAATACAATCTTCATAAGAGATTGTCAGAAGCGTAGCAGTGAATCAAGAAGATGAACAGTGCTTTTTATAGGGAAAGGTAAGCGCGCGATGCAAAGATGTGTGTATAATAGCACGATGAAGTGGCGTGTTGGTTTATAGGGGTTATGTGGTGTTACACTTTTCAGAATGTAGAGAGTTACTGTCAAATGAAAATAATGATTGAGATTATTCGCCCTTTTTCGAGAATTCAAGCATTGCCAGAAAATACAAAGGAATAATATGTCATAAGATTAATACTTGATATTAATTTTGCCATATTGTGGGGTAATTGTTGACATACAAAAATGAGGCCCAATTAAATGGTCCAAAAAATGGGGCCCAGTTAAGGAATTTGAGGGATATGCCCAAATAAAACCATTGTAAAATATAGTAGAGGCCCATAAACGGAGGACNGAAGCCCAATTAAATGGTCCAAGAAATGGGGCTCAGTTATGGAATTTGAGGGATATGCCAAATGAGACCAGTGTAAAATATAGTGGAGGCCCATAAACGGAGAACTATCACCGCCCAAGCCTGCAAGATGCCCAAGATCAGAGCAAATGACGTACCTTATTGTCGCTCAGAGCGACGGGTCCCATTCTCGCTTAAGCTTTCGAAACGCCCAAGATCTGAGCGAACATAGCATTATGTTGTTATTTAAAGCGACGGTTATTGAAACAGTTATTAAGCAATCTTATCATTTTTCACGATCCAACAATCTCAGTTGCAAGAAGTTAAAAGAGGAGAGCAATAGCAGGAGCTTAAAAACGACGATTCCTCGACATGTCAGTCATTATGAAGCAAGTGGGTAGTTATAGAATGACAAGCAGTTTCCAAACGATTTTACAAGAAAAATGGCAAATGAATATAAAAGAAAAAAGAATACATAGAAGGAAAGAGACCGAATCAATCACTCTCAAATAGAGAATTATGTAATTACATTTCGTTTAGCACTTATTTTTCAACTTTCAAATTACTTTGTGTGCTTGTGTTTCTTGGAGGCATTTCGCTTCTTCCTAATTGTAATCTTCATAAATAAAGTACTCATCATTGAGACTTTATCTTGAAATGTTTGTTCCTTACACAATCGTTTGAACTATCTTTTAATTGTTAGCGATACTCGATAATCCGCACGAAACAGTTTTGTTAAAAGAAGAAAAGTTTAGTAAATTTTGATTAAAAAATAATAATAATAAATATCTTATTGAAAAATTAATAAA